AAAAAAATAAAAAGAACTAATTCCATCTGAATTTTCAAGGAGGATAGGGAAGATGTTAATAATGCTGCTATCGATAACACGACTGAAGGAATCTGTTATTTGTGGACACTCTTTGCACCGATGAAGAAAATGCTTTGCATCAGTTTCTTGTTTGAAAACAGAGAGTTTCTCGTCTGTTGCACAGTTTGACTAACAGAACCACTTGCAGTTATTTCTGACATTGACCATTGGAGGGCGCTAAAGTGCACAAAATAAATGTTTGTCAGCAGCCTGAATGGCCCACAGGAAGAAGCTGTTTTTGAGTCTGTTGGTGTGGGAGGTGATTGATGTGAGGGGCCAACCAGAGGCCAGTGGGTCAGACAGGTGCTGAATGGGGTGCGAGGGGTCACCTGTGATGACCCTGGTTTTCCTGAGACAGGAAGATCTGATGATAGCCTCCAGGGGTGGCAGAGGGCAGGCAATAAATTTTTTGGTCAGTGTTAATTACACTCTGCGCAGCTGTCCTGTTCTCAGCTGTGGCACACCCAGCTAGTAGGAGAGCACATGCTCCGGTAGAAGGCCAGCAGCAGCAGGTTGTTCTTGCTGAGGACACGGAGGACGTGCAGCTGCTGCTGGGCCTTCTTCACCAGGGTGATGGAGGTGTGGGTCCAGGTGAGATCAGCTGAGATGTTGGTGCCCAGAAACCTGAAGGTGGAGACAGCTCCACCTGTTCTCCATGTATAATGAGAGGGGAGTGGACCTGTCTGTGCCTCCTGAAGTCAGTTATGAGTTATTTTGTTTTAAAGATGTTCAGCTTCAAGAAGCTAGCTCTTGACCTTGAACAAACACAGATAAAAGCTAAAAATGGAGCAACTGGAAATTTAGCCTGCAATTGCAGAATCCAGTGCAAGGCTGAAAGTGTTTGAGGAGTGATTCACGGAGGAGTCCTTTTAAAAGGTGAAATATAGTTATATATTTAATGATTAGATCATTAAAAAATCGATACTTCACAAATAAGTTATGTATTGGCCCAAATGTTGATGATCCCTCATTCTTCCAGATTGCAGCCTTGTTCTTGGGGGTGATCTCAGCCTGGGACTAAATGAAGAAACACAGCAGAACCTCAGCGCTGTCAGCAGTCCACAAATATAATCAAACAGT